GCCAGGTGAGACAGCCAGAGGTGGTGGCAGGTGTTTACTGATAAAGGTGCTTAAAACTGTCAGATACTTCAGGTCAGATGAAAGAAAAATTGTTTTTCTGCTGCCACCTTCCTTGTATTTTACCTTTGTATAACTGTGGTGTGAAGCTTTGCTGATCAGTAAACTTAATCACTGCCTGTAATTATAATTCCAAAAATAAGTGAGGAGCGCAAAGTGAAGCTATGTATAAATGTAGTTTTATGCACATGTTCTCCTCCCACTGATCACTTTGTGTTGTTCATGCAATCTTCTTTGAATCTGGTGAAGATTAAATTACCAAAGTTTGAATTTGTCCACACGTACATGTTTCTGTGGCGCTTATCATTATTAGCCTCTGAAGTGCTGGACTAAGTGTCAGTATCGTGGGGTTTTAACCTTCTCCCTCCCTCCACAGAAGCTACTGTATCAGTGGCCTGTAAATGTGATCCCCAAAGCACCACCAGACACTGTCCTTGCTCCTCCACCCACCAGGTCCACTCCAAGGTAAGTTTGCTGTGCTGCTTTTTCTCACCGTCCTGCAGGTTTCTCACAGTGTTGACATGTGCTCTTACTCTGTGTTTTATCCCTGTAGAAAACGACCGCGTCAATCCCATCAGGATGACGGACGCCCTTCTATTAAGAAGCCACCAAATGCCTTCATGGTCTATCTGAAAGAGCAGAGGCCAAAGGTGGTGGCTGAATTGAACATGAGTGGGAGTGCAGCTGTGAATGCAGTTGCGGGAGCGAGAGTAAGTGTGTAACTAACTCTACATACATTTATGGATCTGTTCGTGTTTTGTGCTCGTGTTTATGCATGTGTACCAGCTGTCCTGTAGTAATGTGTAGTAACAGTGTAGCTGTGCATTTGTATATGCTGACAGTGTGTTCCTGTGCTCTTCTGTCCACAGTGGAAGTTGCTCTCAAAAGATGAGCAGGCGAAATATTTCGATCGGGCGGAGACAGAAAGATGGCGTCACACAAACGAGCATCCACAGCGGTCCACCAAAGACAACTACGTATGTCCAAAGTGCCAGCATTCATACATGTGCCTGTGACTGCACTGAATGATGAAACATTCACATCGGAGAGTTTGTATCAGCTCGTGAAAATTCTAATGTGTTTGTTTTTAGGGCAAAAAGAGGAAGAGAGTCAGAAATCGGAGCTGTACCACCGGTGAGAGACTATTTCTGGGAATCATGGCGTTTCCTTCGATACATCCGACCTATCCTTCAAATTCGGGGAAATGAAGGAGCGTTTGTCGGCCGCATTTGGAGCAGCCTTCGAATTGGGACAGCCTTCAGCACCTGGCTGTGACATAATCGGCCTTCAATTGCAGCCTTCGAAGGTAGTAGCCCCTGAATTGGGGCATAGTTAAAGATAGCCTTCCTGAAAAAATTCATTAGTGTGTTTAACAAAGGCTTGAACTTGTGACACAGCATCACATAAACTCATCACCTTTTGTCAAAGTAACAGTTGCTGACTGGCTAAGGAAGCAGGCAGGGAGAAGAATCTGTATCCCTCCATGAGAGAGAGGAAGGGATCACAGCTGGTGAGTTTCTATTGTCGCACAAAAGGACATTTTATTGACACCTGTTCTTTGCGGTTAACCAACATCCAGCAGTCATAGTAGGGATAACGGCAGGCAAAATTAATCAAGCATCCCTACATAGACTTCTGCTCAGCGCTAAATTCACCTCTCAGATAGTTTCCCATTCACTTTGAGCACTCATAGATTCCAAAGACAAACACATTTTGGGGCTCAAACCAAAGCCATCAAGCTCAATATTCCTTTGGGGGAGCTGCCAGAAACACTTCACTTATCCACATTAGTATCTACATTCCAGATATCACCCATCCTACAGAAGTGGTAGCTCTTATTATCAGCCAACCACTCCAAACATATTAAGATGCATCTCTTTGAAGCCCCTGGTATTAGGACACCCTTCATTAAGCAACCACAATCCTCACGTGGAACAAAAGCTCTTCTTCTGGTTCAAGCAACGATTGCTGTGACTATTTAAGTCACAGCAATCGTTGTCAGTCCTGCGTGCTGCACAACAACATTCAATATTTAGTATTTACTGTTAGCTAGATTAATGCGATGGTGCTGTGTTTATTATGTCGCCCTCGTTTTTGCTTTTTCTCTCAACAGGTGATCTGGGAGATTTGTTTCCTTTTTAAGTGTCCTTTCTCACTGTCCCCCTTCATCTTTCTTTCTCTCTTTCCTATCCCCCAGCCATGTCTGTAACAACTGAAAATAAAATGAAATAAATAATAACAACAAAGGTTGATCAAATGGACCAAAAAAGCAAGGCCGTGATGATCCACTTGGCAAAGTAAATCCGTTGGGCATCTTTGTTGGCTTTCAGACATCAGTTCTAACAGCTACAACAACAACAGACAGGTCCCTTTGCTGTTGCATTGATATTTCGAGGTTTGAACAACATTACTGTTAAAAATAAATACCCATTACATCTGTTTTTCTCTGTTTGTTTTTTTGTTTTTGTTTTTTGTTTTTTTTTAAAGTGGATTTATGCAATACTTGTAATCTTGTTCATATCAGTCAAGGAGATGGATAGAAAACAACATTCAAAACCCAACTTGCTCATTTTGAATACTTAGTAATGCCATTCTGACGCACCAACAACTCTGATATTGGTAAATGACATCATCTGAGACTTTCTGAACTAGTTTGTGTTTACCTTTCTTGAAAAGATCTGGATCTTTTCCAGGAACCTCTCTGAGAGTCAGTCTGTCATTCGTCAGGTTTTCCATCACTTACTGGAGAACAAATTGTATGTGAAAAGTGAGAAGTTTAAATTTTAATCCTTACTCTATCTTGTCCCTTGGCTGTGTCGTCAAATGATCAAATTAGCACAGACCCCAGCCAGAGTCCAGGGAGTTATGGACTTGCCCTGAACCAGCTACCAGAAAACATTTTCAGTGTTTCCTTGGCCTTGCCAATTTCTACCGTAAGCTCATCCGTAAACACAATAAGATTGTACTGCCACTAATGTCAGGGCTCAGTTGCCAGCAATGAGAAAACGGACTTGGCAGAGAAACTGTGGCTCAAGAGTTGGCTGACTGGGGCACTGAAACAGAGCGAAAAGAGAGTCAAGGTGGTTCTGAGAAGTGCGAGCAAAGTCCAGGTGAAATGTCTAAAGTCTTACCTATTTGCAGGTAGAGTGAGCTGGAGGGGAAGGTCTTGGTTGGAGTGGTTGTGGTCTTGGTGGGTCCAGTGAGGATTGATCCTGAGGTTCCAAGCAGTGAAAGGGGGGCAGGCAGGTGTGGATGGATATCATTCAGTGAGATATTACTGGCTTTGATGGAGCAGAAGTGACCAGCATCCAGGTTGGAGAAATTATGGTAAGATGGAGAGAGTATGTCCATAAACTGACAGAGAAGACAAGAGAAGGTACTATGGCACTATGATTAACACAGGATACAAGTAGCTGCAAACTAACATAGGTTAGCAGACATTCTGGCAAGGGTTAGTTGTAAGCGCTGGTCTTAAGTACTGCCGGTCTAATCAGCTCCAGCTGGAAGCCCTGGGAGGAGTGATGATGACCCAGAGGAGCAGCGCCAGGCACTACGGAAAAACACTAACTCACCCAGACCAAGCAGGAAACCACTCTCACCTCTCCAAAGTTTCCAATCAGCTGGCATGAATCTGCTCAGAAGGCTTTCAAGAGACTTAAGGAACTGTTTTATCACATCTGTGTGTGTGTAATAAATCTGCAAGCGTAGGAGATATTAATGGTTGAAAAGTCTTGACGTCTTGCTCAAATCACTGAATTTACACACAAGTCATCAGTTTCACATCACTCAGCTTTTAAATTGGCTGTTTCTTTACACCCGACTTTTGCAATACTTCTCCCACAGCAGATCTGTGCAGCAGTTTGTACTTGTGTGGAGAGAGTAGTCTATAATTGAGAGCTCATTAACCCAAGTCAGACTCAATGCTCAGCAAGTACCACCAGGTGTCTTACTCTTAATGGAGTATTATCCTAGTATATTATTATTTTATATAAGTAAATGAATTCTCCCGTCACTACTGACAGAGAAAAAAGACTGTGGCAGAAAGGCATCCCACCTTATTAACTGTGACTAGGCTTGGGAGACAGAGCTATTCATACATGGTTAGTCTGCTTACTCACATTTCATAAATGCTTTAGTGTGATAAAACTTACATCGACCATATTTTTCTATTCTATAAAAATCCACGAATGCAGATGCAAAATTACAAAAACAAACACACACAAAAAGTATAACTGTCCAAAAACTTATGGGCCTGCCTGTAGCTCCAAAATGAGTGCATTTCAGGCAGACGGAGGCTCGCTCCTCTCCTCATATCCAATCTTTTCAATGAAGCCTGCAGTGCAGGGGGAGTGCGACTGGTCTCAACTGGTCCCACTAATGCCGCTGCATTCATTCAGCACCCGTGTGGACATGAATGTTGATATTATAATTTCCTCTTCTCTACAGATACTTATTCCTGAGTCAAGGAGTAGCACCTAAATCTTGCCAAACACAGATATAGATCAAATCAAGTACACTTGTTTTCTCAACAATAAACGCAATATCAGTATTGGAGTGAAGCAGATCCAAATGTCTGGGTTTTACTTAAAAAATGGATAAGAAGGAGAATAAAGCACCATTCTTTATCATTTTAATTTTATTCATGGAGTGATTACTTTGTGTAATTTAGCTACAGAATTTGTAATGTATCCATATTTATTGTGCAGTCTGTTTCAGTGTTTACATTTCTTTAATTATAAAAACATGAAGAGGAAAAATTCATTAATTTTCATTAATTTCTTATTATATATACGTGTGTGTGTGTGTGTGTGTGTGTGTGTGTGTGTGTGTGTGTGTGTATAAATTTCTCAATTTATTTTTGATCGCATCTTAAAATTGTATTATTATTAGTAGCAGTAGTAGTACAGGTATCTCATTAAGTTGGAGGAACCTCTCTAGTTTCCCCGCACGACGTCCGGATTTAATTTGAAGACGGACCACTTCCGGTCCAGCTGTCAACAGACCCCGCAGCACACGTGTTTCCACAGTTAAAATGGTGAGTATGTTGAACTGTGGGGTTTTCTGTTTGTGTAGCGTTAATAAAAGGCCTCTAAATGATCGGAGCTCGTCGTGTTTTTTAGCCGAAGATTCAGAGGGGAAAACCTGCGGAGAAAGTGGTTCATCCGTACAGCCGGAAGGCAGCTTATATGGCCCGAGAGGAGTGCAGACTTAGGAGGAAAGAGAGGTTTGTAGATGGCCGCAGAGATCAGCTCACCTTAACGAATCAATAGCATGTTGTTAGCCTCACATTTGAGCATTGTGTTAAACTCTTGCCATGTCTCCGCCTCCGCGCTGCGAGTCTGCAGATGCAAATACGAGCGTGGCTCCAGGGACATGTTATTAAATGTAACTTGGGCTGATTGAGACACTTCATCCTGCCTTGACAGTTTTCTTTAACCTCTTGTGTGAAGTAAACAGCGTCTGTGTGATGATTTAAAGGAGGTTTAACTGGTTTCTTTCTGATGCTGCAGGCAAAAGACTGAGAAAGCTACTCGTCTAAGCAACATTGGTGAGAGCAAGCTTTTCGTTCATGTTATTGCAAGAGCAAAAAAGAAAAAGGTGTTTATTGATGTTTTCTTTCCTTTTTTTCTTGTATCTCCAATCACAGGTGAGAAGCTCTTGTGGTTTCAGAGTGAGCTGGATCCAGCTAAGGCGACTTACACAAAAAAAGACGCCTGCGACATCATTGAGAGGTTTGGCTCTGGGCTTACAGTGGGGCAAAAAAGTATTTAGTCAGCCACCGATTGTGCAAGTTCCCCCACCTAAAATGATGACAGAGGTCAGTAATTTGCAGCAGAGGTACACTTCAACTGTGAGAGACAGAATGTGAAAAAAAAATCCATGAATCCACATGGTAGGATTTGTAAAGAATTTATTCGTAAATCAGGGTGGAAAATAAGTATTTGGTCACCTCAAAAAAGGAAAATCTCTGGCTCTCACAGACCCGTAACGTCTTCTGTAAGAAGCTTTTCTGTCCCCCACTCGTTACCTGTATGAATGGCACCTGTTTGAACTCATCATCTGTATAAAAGACACCTGTCCACAGCCTCAAACAGTCAGACTCCAAACTCTGCCATGGCCAAGACCAAAGAGCTTTCGAAGGACACCAGGAAAAGTATTGTAGACCTGCACCAGACTGGGAAGAGTGAATCTACAATAGGCAAGCAGCTTGGTGTGAAAAAATCAACTGTGGGAGCAATCATCAGAAAATGGAAGACATACAAGACCACTGATAATCTCCCTCGATCTGGGGCTCCACGCAAGATCTCATCCCGTGGGGTCAAAATGATCATGAGAACGGTGAGCAAAGATCCCAGAACCACACGGGGGACCTGGTGAATGACCTGCAGAGAGCTGGGACCAAAGTAACAAAGGTCACCATCAGTAACACACTACAACGGCAGGGAATCAAATCCCGCAGTGCCAGACGTGTTCCGCTGCTGAAGCCAGTGCATGTCCAGGCCCGTCTGAAGTTTGCCAGAGAGCACATGGATGATACAGCAGAGGATTGGGAGAATGTCATGTGGTCAGATGAAACCAAAGTAGAACTTTTTGGTATAAACTCAACTCGTCGTGTTTGGAGGAAGAAGAATACTGAGTTGCATCCCAAGAACACCATACCTACTGTGAAGCATGGGGGTGGAAACATCATGCTATGGGGCTGTTTTTCTGCCAAGGGGACAGGACGACTGATCCGTGTTAAGGACAGAATGAATGGGGCCATGTATCGTGAGATTTTGAGCCAAAACCTCCTTCCATCAGTGAGAACTTTGAAGATGAAACGAGGCTGGGTCTTCCAACATGACAATGATCCAAAACACACCGCCCGGGCAACAAAGGAGTGGCTCCGTAAGAAGCATTTGAAAGTCCTGGAGTGGCCTAGCCAGTCTCCAGACCTCAACCCCATAGAAAATCTGTGGCGTGTTGCTCGGCGACAGCCCCAAAACATCACTGCTCTTGAGAAGATCTGCATGGAGGAATGGGCCAAAATACCAGCTACTGTGTGTGCAAACCTGGTAAAGACCTATAGTAAACGTTTGACCTCTGTTATTGCCAACAAAGGTTATGTTACAAAGTATCTAGTTGTATTTTTGTTATTGACCAAATACTTATTTTCCACCCTGATTTACAAATAAATTCTTTACAAATCCTACCATGTGGATTCATGGATTTTTTTTCACATTCTGTCTCTCACAGTTGAAGTGTACCTCTGGTGCAAATTACTGACCTCTGTCATCATTTTAGGTGGGGAACTTGCACAATCGGTGGCTGACTAAATACTTTTTTGCCCCACTGTATGTTCATTTTGAATTTGGAGTACATTATTTTTCATTTGGAAGTGCACAAACAAAAAGAGAGAGAGAGCCCGTACATGCATTAAACTGTGAGCCCATCAGCCAGTCTGTGAGCTGCCCCAGTCTCTGGTGAGAGTGGTTCATGTTTTCAGGGCTGAGACTTCATCATCCATCAGCTGGCCATTGTTTACAAAACGCTACATGTCATCAGACAGCAGGTGATGATTTCATTTGGGCAAATAGAGCCTAGGGCTGCCACAAACGATTATTTTGATAGTCGACTAGTCACCGATTATTTTTGTGATTAGTCGACTAATCAGATCATCATCCATTGGACGTAAAACTACAGCTTATTGCACCAGCAGCATCTGCTCTTATATAACTATCATTAGCTTACAGCTTTAAGTGTTTAAGGTATGTGCTAACTAAAAATAAAGACAAGATGATAGTTTATTAAATTTTAATGAAATTTGCAGATTGTCTCGGTGAAGTTTAATAAACTCCTTGCTATCTAAAATATAACAGGACACTGGAGTAAATTCTGGAGCATCTCACACTTCTGATGATCAGTTGTCTGCTTGACGTTTATTCAGCTGTGTAAAAACTATAACTTTAATCTCAGCCAAACCGATTTACTCAGGAACAAATAAAATACTAAAAAAAGCCAAACAATAACATTTTTAAGTTATCTCAGTGACTTATATATGTTTAACCTGAGTAGCGAAAGACGGCGGTGGGTTTGAAAACGATTTCGGTGTTCTCACAGGCTCTAGTTAGCCTTGCCCCCGGCTAGCTATCCAGCTATTCGCTAACAGACGTCTCCGAAAACGTCGGCGCGCTTTTGAAAATATGTGGTGTCTTGATAAACTGAGCAGATATTTGAGGTTTACACAGCTACATTCTCGCCTGAAAATATGTTAAACGTTTATTTTGTGACCCAGAAAGAGTAATATTAAAACTAATTAGCTGCCGCCATTGTTGGAAACTGAGCTGGGCTGCGCTATGAATTCTGGGACAGAGCTACTTCTTCTTCGGGGTGTAACGGCAGCTGGCATCCTTGTACATGCAGCGGTGCCATCTTCTGTTTCAGTCCGTTATTACACTCTTAAATCTTACTAATTATTCCTGTGTCTTTTGTGATCTTACAAAGCTTCAAACGACGCATCGACTATTAAATCAGTCGTCGACAATTTTGATAGTCGACGTAATCGTGGCAGCCCTAATACAGCCCTCGTTTTATTCTCCAGCCTGCATGAACCCAACCCCCTCTACCATGATTGGTCGGTTCCACTCCGACTATAAACAGAAACCATCACCTTCAACAATCACAACCAAAAGTTTGAGCCGTGGCGTTAATTTTGTGCAGTTTTTATTCGAATGTATTCCTTTTTATGTGAAATGAAGATACAGATCAATCATATGTGTGTTTTATGAGTTTCAGAGTCTTTTGTGGTCACATAAATAACAGTTTAAGCAAGGAATTTACAGCACTGACTTTTCTTCATAACTTCTGCAGTTCTCTATGGTGTGCTGGATATCCATGTCAGGGGAAAATCCTGATTGTGTTCCCAAGTTGATCAGTTTGTCGCCAATAAAAACATCTTAAAAGACCAGCTTCTTTTATCGCTCCCAGAACAGTTTGGTGACAATCTTTGCATTTTCCAGCACAAAGGAGCACCGTGTCCCGAGGAAAAAATGGTAATTAAGCGGCCTGAAGATCATCAAATTAACTACCTAGATCCTAATGCCACCATAATCTAGTTACAGTCCTTGAACGTGAACAAGCAGAACCCCAGAACCTGTGATGAACCTGGAGCACTGATGAGCCAGGAATGAATCGCAATCAGTCAGGATTTTGCCCGGACACTGATATCCAGCACACCACAAAGAACTGCAGATCTCATGAAGAAGAAGGTTAAATACTGTAAACATTGACTTTATGCATAAATTATATTTTTCCCCCAATGAAAGTGTTTTAAACTCATGAAATACTTGTATATGTATCCTAAAATAAAATGAAGCAACAAAGTGTATGAACAGTAGTATGTTTTCTGTCTTCAGATACCTCCACAGATTTGACTCTGAACTTGAGCAGATTGAACTCATGAATGGGATCAAAGGTCGGCAGGGTCGTCTCCATGGCGCCAGAGAGGCCGTAATCAAACAGACCATCGAGCGAGAGCGGGCACAGTTTGAGGGTGTCGGTTTCGGTGAGTCCTCGTTTTTAAAAAAAAGAAATAAAAAAGAAACGAGTAATTTATAGACACCTCTGGCTGTAAAACTGTCTGATCCTCTGCTGCGGTGTTTCAGAAATCCCCGACATCATCAACGGAAAACATCTGAAGACCTTTAGGTGAGTGGACGAGCTTTAATGAGCTAAACTCAACCTCTTGTTTCTCTTTGTTTGAGAAGATGTTATAATTATTCAGCTTCCATCATTTCACGGATTGGCTGATCAGCTGATAAAAGTGCATACATGGACTCTTAAGTCTGAACTTGAAATGATTCGATTTTGAAGACTGGTCATTAGTATTGTTGCATTTTTAAATTTTGCAGAGAGTGGACTGGGGACCTGAAGAAACTTCCGAATATTAAACTGCGCAAGGTCTCGAACAAAAGTTTAGAGTCAAAGAAGGAAGGAGAGGAGAAACACGAGGGCGAGGAGAATCAGGAGAATGATGATAATGAGGAAGATGGAAGCGATTTGGACAGTGAGCAAATGGATGAGATTTCAGACTCCCACTGAGACTCTTCATGTTGGACCTGCTGGAGTATTAAGACTTTCAGCACACTTAATGTGATGTGTGAGAAAATGCTGCTGCTATTCCTGGACCGTCCACGAGATGGTGCTACAGCCTCAAATAGCAAAGTCAGATTTTTTTTTTTCCAGTCTGAACTCCTGCTAAAAGTTTCTCAGTGACTTCACACCAGCCTTTCAGAGGTTTCTACATTCATCATTTATTGCACAAACAAATATGCGTTTCATGTAACCAGAATGCTCTGTTTTATTTAGAAAATAGCGGTTGCGGTGGGTTTAAAACACAGAGGAAACTGTATTTTCTGTGAGGTGAGAAACCAAATCGAGACTATAAAAGTGGTCACGTGTGAGTAACAGTCGCTTTGAGTAGGCCGACTTTGTGTTGGTTCGAATCAAGAGAAATGCTCATAATCTAATGTAAAAACATGAATGGGGGGAAACCATGAAAGCTCTAGTTACATCGATATATAAATAAAGGTTGTCCAGCTCAGGACCTCCGAAGCTGCAAACGACTGGGCTACTGTAGACTTTCTATTTTAACAAATAATCTGACGATAACTTTCAGACTATTACGTTTTTAGATCTCCGACTGAGCTAAAGGTTCAGTTTACGGTCTGTTTCTCTACTTATAACATCTGACTCTTTGGTGTCTGAAGACCTGATTGTCCAAAAGGAGAGTAAAGGTCTCAGTATGCTTCAGAGCTTGTCACACAGGCCCGATCAGGCAGGTTTAAAACAAACTCAAGCTATTGTATTTTTTTATCCTGCCTCACTCTCACTTTTGACAACTTTTCCAAATTCATTAAAAACTTTTGAGTAGTGTGTGGAGCGTTTCAGAGTAGCCCTTATCTGCTACAATGTTGCATCTCTGATTCTACAATTCATGCGAGGCTTCAGCTGGGCCAATCAGGACTGTGTAGGCTCTCTTCTGGGACTTCCCAGCTCTCAGCAAGAGCAGCAGCAAGTCCCCCTCACAGAACAGTGGCAGCATCAGTGAAAGCAGGTCAGAGAAGCTGGGTGGTAAAAGCTGAAGCAGCTTATTAATTGTCCCGCCTTGTGGATGTGTGACAGTGTCAGCTGATGTGGGGACTGATTACGAGTCATATGCGTGATTCATTTGAAACATACTGAGACCTTTGATGAGCATCTGCAGAGTGTTCACATCTTTAACTCATATCAGTGCAGGTTGAGAAAGTGCATACTGGGATAAAATAGTGTCGGTAAACCACAAAACACGGTCTTTACGAGCGTTCTGTGCCGATGGCTTTGTTTCTGTCCTCTCTCCACACTCTGCCCCTCTTCTTTTCTTCGTGAAGCCCTTCTGACCCCAACTTTTCTGGATCACCGAAGGACTGGATCAGTTCGTTTGTCCAACAGCACCCACTGGAGTTGAGAACAACATTACAACACTGCACAAGTCCAAATCTCACTGTGCTCATTGACATTACCATGAGCAGAGTGGGATTAGGGACTGTTCTCGGAGCAGGAGGAGATAAGTCAAACAGGGTTTTGCGCCGGCGCCACGGCAGCCTCCACTGACGTGTCAGAGTCCATCGGAGCTGCCGGAGCTGGGGCCTGGCTGACCGGCACCTCCACGGTTTCATGCCTGCCATTGGCGATGGTGCTTTGCCGGGCCTGGGGGTTGTGCAGGTCCTTCTCAGGACAGTTCTGCACAGTGATGATGCGATTGAAGGCCTTGAGGCGGCGCCACAGCTGCAGGTAGACTTTACACTGGATGTACATAAAGATGAGGCCACCCGTGAAGCCAATGGCCACCACAATCAGCTTAGTCCAGAAGGGCCACTCCAGCACACCTGAAAGGACACCGACACACACACAGCAGCTGTTAGTGCCCCTCGCGGACGTGTGAGGGGTCAAGATGGTGGCATGTGCAGAGCTGTGCTTACCCTGCGGCGTATAGTACTTCAGAAGAGAAACTCTCCATAATTCGGCTGCAATCAAGAGCGATTTCTCTTTTTAATCTCTGGAGAAAATATTCTATTGTGCAAACACTGTAGAAATACTCTAAATATTAATGCTTATGATTTTATAGGTCATATGTATTTTTCTGCATCTACTCTTACGTCCTACATCGTAAACACAACACGACACACACACCACCACTGAACACAACCATGAATGTAGAAGAGCACTGAGGGGTGTTAACTGTGACTTGAAGGATAACTCGTGGATCAGAGGATACTGATCAACAATCGCATCATCTTCACATTCCTGAGAGTGTTCATCTCACAGATTTCAGGTATAAGTAGTGTACCATGCAAATTACTTTTGCATTAGTTTCCAAGTGATTTTCTCCATCCGGCTGTTTTAAAAAAATTATTATTATTATGTTGTTGAGATTATACTCCGAGGCTGCAGTGGGAACCTTCCTGTCTTTGAAGTATAACATCTGAAACCTTATTGTTGCAGACAGTTGGTCTTTGGGTTTCACTTTCCAATAAATTTGGTAGGTGTTTCTCTTAGAATTACCAAAAAATGTGTCACCTTTGTCAAAATAACTTCCTGTAAACACATCGCAGACTTGACAAAGATTTTCCTGCAAACAGTCCCAGAAAGACTATTTGGCCAGTGTCAAAAGAAAATGCACCAGCGGCGACAGTTTACTTGAAAAATGCAAAGATTTCTGTTCAGTAAGGTAACACTGACTTTTACTGCATGTTAATGCAATAAAAATCTGATTATAATAAAATTGAAACATTTTCAGTAAATGTTAATTTCCCCAGAAACACAAAAATGACACATTAAACTAAAAGCTCTTTTATATTCGTTAACAGTGACTTTCAACTTCATTAGGTACCGCTGCCTTGATTCTTCGTTGCACAGATTCAACAAGGTGCCGGAAACACATTTTGGTCCATATTGACACAACAACATCACACAGTAGCTGCAGATTTGTCAGCTGCACAGTCGTGATGTGAATCTCTCGTTCCACCACATCACAAAGCTGCTCTTTTGGACCGAGGTCTGGTGACTGTGGAGGCCATTTGTGTACAGTTAATACATTGATTTGAACATTGTGTGACATGGTGCGTTATCAGGAGATGTGCATACTGTTCTCATAAGGGGACAAAATCAGTCTGGCCCATCTCCTCTGATCTGTGGCATTAGCAAGGAATTTCGTTCCATAGAACCGCTGCACACTGGTTGTGTGGGAAAATCTTAGTCCATCAACAGTTTCTGAACTACCCAGATGAGCCCATTTGGCACCAACAACCATGACGGCGTCCCGTCACTTAAATGGCCCTACTTCTTCATTCTGATGCTCAGTTTGAACATCAGCAGATGATCTTGACCATATCTAACCAGCCAATGTGATTGGCTGATTAGATATTTCTTTTAATTGGCAGTTGAACACATGTACCTAATAAAGTGGCCTGTGAATATGGCAAGCGCGATGTAGTTACTTGGCCACATACCACAAGTATTGCTAAACATGCTCAGTTCAGCAGCTTCACACATTTATTTTGAGACTTTCAAATGTTATAAACTGTCTGAGAAACTGAAAGTTAACTCTTCAGAGGATGTCTAAAAGCAAAGTCCGTCTTCCACACTAGAGCAGGACGCCTAATGTGTCTAATGTTTAGGGACGACTATCACAGTAAAACACCTAATGTATAATGTACCTAATATACCCAAACAGGCGAAACTTTTTAAAATCACTTAACCAGAGTCAGGCATACCTGCAGGTTAAAGGTACCCTGTGGGGTGCTGTGGGGGCATGTTGGGAGTGGATTATGCACACTGTATTCTTTGACATATTGTACCAGTAGAGTTGAAGCTAATACACTTTGCATGGTTACAATCCTGTATAAATCCATTCCACCCACATCAATACCGGCCATAAGTAACTGACTACACCAGAAAAGAAACATTAAAGAAGTTAAACCTACTCTGTGTGAGTGAGTGGAAACTCCTTTCCACTCACTCATGCCATCTGTATGAATGAATCAATGAAAAGGAAAACAACACCCACACATTAATGCACCCATTTTAGGAGTTCTTACTAATTCTGTGTATTTGTCGGTTATTCTATAAGAGAAGAGGTGAATATGAAATCTGAGGGATTTTATGGCTCATAGGGTGCATTAACAAACGCTACGCACATCCAGAAAAAGAAAGTGAAGTAAGTGGGTGAAAGGTGACATTCAATTATAATTCTCATTTAAAAAAGACAAACTATCAGCAGACAATTTAATTATAATTATAAATATAGATCCACACATTGATCATAGTAGATGATAATAAAAAAAGAAGGCTTTTTGTTTATGTTACATGTGGTGAGAAATAGTATCCAACATGTAACTATGGACACACGTGTTGACATGCAAACAGTGAAGGAGACACCACAGGGACCGTACTGCATGCTGCCTGACTCTGGCGTGTGAGCGGCGGGGAGGCGAAGGGAAAGCACTGACCGTTCTTTCCGAGTCGGATCTCTTCAGCAGTTCTCCTCACCAGAATGTAGACCGACCACAATATACACACTATCGCTATCAGGTGAAACAGCACTGAACAGAAGATCTTCCTCCTCTCGCTCTTCGACATGTGTAGCTTCTCCCACTGGAAGAAAGAGGCGCGAACACAGGAGGGAGACAGAGAAACACGCTCAGAACTGCCCTGCATATCTCAGCGCTTAACGCTTTTCAGGAAGACCTAAGTGTGTGCGGCGTACCTTGCTTAAAGGTTTGAGCTTCGTCTCCATGATGAAGTCAAATTTGCAGAGTTCACAGCAGCGAGTGTCGGAGGATTTGATCCACTGGTTGAGACAGGCCTGATGAACAAAACTGAGGCTTCCCGTGCAGCGACAGGGCATTATCAACGGACACTCGTCGTCCCCCTCACAGTGGCAGATCCTGCACACAGACAGAAGGAGGAGAAATGACCTGCAGTCTCTGCACTGTTTTATTTTAGTGCCTCTCTTTGTCTTTGTTTGTTTGGCCTCATCTGGGCAATGAAGATAAACTTGGGGTCAGTACATGATCAGTTTTCACACTTATGTAACTAACCTGCAGACCTCCAGCTCAGAGTCGTCAGAGCAGGGATGCGGTGTGTTCCCATTCGCACCACAGTGTTTCTGGAGTGTGGGCACTGACATATCCCCGCCCCCTGAACCCTTCTCCTGGTATCTCTTGGTGATGAGCTCCTCGCCGTCGTCGGCCAATGAGGAGCTGCCTCTTGGGCTCTGTGACTTGTAGCTCTTCGTATCCTTATCTCTGCCCTGCGATCGATCCCTCTGCGATGCATGGCCGTCTCTCTTCACTGAGCTCCCGTGGTTGTGGCGCTTCTTAAGGCCGCTGCTGTCCTCCATCAGAGGTTGACTCTCTTTCCCTTCATCTGAGCCCACAGATTGCAGCTCCATGATCTCGGCTTTGTCTTCTCCTCCTTTGTGTGGGTTTATCACCTCCCTGTCCCGGCTGCTCCCGCTGCGGCGGCGCGCTCTTCTGGCTTTCTCTTTGCTCCAGCTGCGGCTCTCGCGGCACGCCTCATCCTCAGAGGAGTCTGAATGCGGCGCACCTGTGCACCGGAAGCGAGGCGGGAGATCCCTCCGGTTCCTGAAGGAGTGCTCCCTCTTCTCGCCCAGCTCACTACGGTCAGAGCTGAGGCTCCGGTCGCTGTGGTCGTGCTTGCCATTGGTTTCCACGCAGTCGATGGCCGTGCAGCTGCTTCTCTTGCGGCGGTGACGTCGCTTCACCTGCTTTTTCTGTGCCTGAGCCGATGAGCCCAGAGTGGTGCCAGTGACCGTCATTGCAGAGGAGTTGTGCGTGTGCTTTTTGTGTTTGCGTGACTCAGACACATCCTCCTCTAAGCGGGTCAGCTGTCCAGAACTAAACACACACACATTCACACACAGATGGAGATGAAATAAAGTGAAACAAGATGGAAAAACATAAATCTGTCATAACTAAAGCAATGGGCTGAAACATAGCTGCATGATTTTAAAGATTAAGTTTAGTCAATTTACTAGTAACAATTTATGCTACCATTTTTGATTTTGATTACTTAACAAGTAACTGGACTTTACACCATTGCAACACTGATTCTTTTCTTTTTCAGGCTTTCTGGTGTATTTACGGTAAAATGACACTTCTCTTTATATATTCTCTGCTGTCATTCAGATTAATTTCTAAGTGACAGAATTAGGGCTGCCTATGATTTCTCTCTTATACTTGGAAACACGTTATGATCACAGAATATCTCATTCTTCTTTAATTAATGTAGATAACAAAGAGTTATTTGCTATTAGAGGTTGCTAACACAGCTTCTGTTTCATTTGAAGCTGAGAGTAGTTGGACAGAAGCTGCCGCTGCAAAACAGGAAATGGATAATAGGAAACAGAATGGAAACTACAGCTTATGATCAGACTAAATAATCAAACAAGCAGGCAGTGGACATGGACTGAACTTAGGACAGCAAATTAAGGTGCTAACACACACACACACACACACACACACACACACACACACACACACACACACACACACACACACACACACAGGCTTGTTTCGACCATGAAGCCAAAGGACTGAGCCTGTCAGTGTGGCCAACACGGCACCAGTGGGTGTAACAAGCTGAAGGTTTCCATTTCTGCAATCAGTCATCTCCCCCCCATTGATTGCACTATGGGAGCGCCACAGCACACATTTTAAGTTTGTTATGCCCTTGGGGTGCAGCCGACCATGCTAATTCAGTCTCCCACTCAGAAGAGAAGTGTGCATGTTAATATCACAGAGAGAAGGCTGGCTGCTCCTGGCTTTAAAAGAGATGTCTGAACAGATATTTGCAGATAGTCAAGGAATGGAGTCTCTCTTCCCAGGTAACTGTAACTGCAAGAGAAGCCAATCTTACCTGCATATGTCCTGAGCGGATGGTGTTATGGATGTCCTTGAGGCTGTAGTGAGCCCTGCAGTCGAGTTGCTAGCCTGCAACCACCAACATCCTCTATTTAGTGCATTCTACAATTACTTATGAGTTACTAAACAACCAATCACACATTGTTTTATGAATCAGGTGCCAGTAAATGTTTACTGGTGCTCAAATGTGGTTGCATTTTAATTTTTTTATTCATTTATTTTTTGTAGAAGGTACTCCTGAAATACCCAAAACCCTAAGATTTGAGTATCAAACATACTCCTTAATGTACTATCATTTGTCATGTGGGTGACCCTTTACTGTAACTCTTACTGTAGGTACTGACAATTTAACTTACCTAATGCATAAAATATAGACAGTAGATATATATAAAATACTACAATAAGATTGAAGGTGAATCATTAATTTCTGAGGGAAAACAGCTTTTAGATTCTCTCCTACACACTGCAAAAAGTTTTCTTCCACTGTGCTTGCATTCAATAATCAGTGACACTGAGTAGGTTTCACCTCATTTATGCACCCATACTATACTGTAAATCGCTGCTGCTTTTTGAAGCTCTTTTAGCTAATATGTGAACAAAAAACTGCTTATTTCCGCCTCTGGCAAAAGTAGAGTAACTAGAGCTATTTGAGCTGCATTTCTGGTCATGTAAAAAACTTAACTTCCGTGTTATGATTTCTACTTTCAAATCGGGTTTAGTCTCAGATGATTCATCGGAATACACTGAAGACAGTCTTCAGCCGGTGATGTTGTTTTTGTTAAAAACAGCTGCCTAGTGCTGCTAAAAACCAGCGTGAGAGTAGCGAGCCTTATTTATTTGAAGGCCGTGCGAAAAAAAAAATAGAAAAGACTTATAGATGTGATAAAAAAAAAGTGATCTGTAGCTTTTCAAATGATGATTGATGTTTATATGAGAAATCTGAACTAATGGACCTTAAATGAAAATTGAGTACTCTGTGTGAGTCATGCATCAGTGTGCACTTGGTGTTTTGTGAGCATCCATCTCTACTCTAAGTGTGACACACACCCTAACCACATTCTCGTACATCAAACTGTGCTTTCCCATGCAATGCTATCGTACACTATGAACTGTGACCTTAATTTTAATGCTTTAAGCACCGATATTTAACAGTTACCTTGGAGATGTTGCTGGATCGACTCCCTGAGCGCCCAGGTGCCTTCCTCCCCTGCAGGGGAGATGGAGAGACAGAAAATCATTAGAGCCCAATAAACACGCTGAAGGATGTGATGCTTTAATAGTGCGCAGCAGCTGTGGAGCCTGAGGCTTTTAAACCAATGATTTCTTTGGCACACAACACCAGACAGAACCATAAAATCATATTGGAACAATATTTTACAGCCCTTGTGTCGACTTCAGCTAATGGCTGATTCACCCGAATATGTGTTAGTGCAATCTGCTGCAGAGCTGCTGCTGCTTTTTTTTTTTTTTTGTGTATGATAATGATAGATAAAGTCTTTTAAACTACTCAAATATGCCCATGTCAAGTTCAGGAAGGTGAATATTAATGCACAGAAAAGCAGCAAAAGGGGTTTTTTTTTTCATTTATATTTGTTTGTTTCTTTTCTTTTCTTTTTGAGAAATGAATGCCGCATAATAGCTTTAGCAATAACTTCCAAATCACCTGGCGGCTTCACCTTCAAACTGCAATCATTATAATTTAAATCAAATGATTACACACATCAGGCATGCTGTTAACGTTCAAACTAAAGTTTAAATCTTCCCCGTGCCCCCACCCACCCAACACCAAGACCTCCAAAAATAGGCGAGGTGAGAAATGTGTCTGTTTTTGTAGAAAAGACACTAAAGTTTAAATCTGCAATAAAAACAAAACTCCAATAATCAAACTAAGCTGCTTTTAACACCAGCAGGTATTCAGCGCTGATCAGTCCTACTGTGTTTACCGATGAAAATCCAGCATCAAGAGTCGTGCACAGCCTCATGTCCTTGCTGCTTCATTGTGACCTGAGCTAAAGCCAGCCAATCCTATTACCTGGTTGTCCTGCTAAGAGCACAAGATGCTGCTCTGCAATGTGTCTCTATTTAAAGGCAACTTAAGGCACTTTTTCTAGAATCTGCCCTGAGCGCTGATTGTCTGAACTCACCTATTAGACCTTGGGCTTCGCCAGCAGACATCTGTGGCCTGCAGCAGCTTTACTTACCAATGAGATGGTGGTGAGTGGGAGCTACCAAGTGACGACCAGCTGGTAAACCACCAAGAAGGAAAATATCTTCTCCATAATAATTTGGTGCCAAATTATTTTCCAGACACTTTCGATCTGTCCTGATCCCAAAATTCTTACCATCATATCACTGAAACCTAGCTTCTAGTTTACGTATGAACCACATCAACAACATGGCTCAATTCAAATGAAATCAGCTGGTTGTGAGTTGGGAAAGCTACAGATTGCTGAATAAGTAATGCAGATGAACCGAAGCAGTCACAGCGAGCAATTATTTTTCTGGTTCGCTTTCATCCTCAGCCACATGGACCTTTGCACCTGCATTATGGGATTAAATCTGGCTTTGTTGCAGATATTTGTTGGATACTGTTTTAAGTATCATACATGCAATGAGCTCAAGCTAATAACCTACCAACTGTCTGCTACTGCTGTGGGTGGGCAGTGGAGAATGAACTGGCAGGAGTTAAAAGGACAATGGACATCATGGATAAAGCTGGCTGTATTTTCCTTTCTGTCAATAAATCCTAAAACCAAAGATGTAACTGCAACTTTTCCCAAAACCAGTACCCATCTGATCCTAATGTCATATATTATAGAGTATCTATAACACCTGTCAGTATGAAAATGGACACTTTAAAGGGCTGAGATTTGTTAAGTTTTATGTATCTTACAGGATGTTTGTGGAGTTCAAAGTTGGAATGTTAAATGTGCGTGGTTTTTCCATAGATCTATTTTTTTAAATACTTGACATAAAATAGGAAAACCTGAGCTTGCATCAGCCCATACACAGCCACAGTTGTAGGTACACTCTGTGAAAATCACTGAAATAAATAAGAGACACTGACAAGCAGAGAACTGCATCATCTAAGCTGATCAAGGGATTTTCTGATGGCCACTTTTAAATCAGTGCAGCCCTGCTTGGAGTCAAAGCAAACACTCCTCTGCCTTTTAGAGGAGATGGACACGTGTTCACATGTATGTGACCAGTTATAATTACTCACATCATCTTTCCAAAGTTTCATAATAAAAAGGGTATTTCTAAGAAGATACAACTACTGATGCCTGGGAGTCGTGTAATTCCTTCCAGTCAGGTTGGTTTCCGTGTTGTGGTAAACCTCTAATGCGTCAAAAAAACAAACAAAAAAACCCCCCAGAAGTGGGTGATCAAAGACTACAGCTATGAAAGGAAATAATGAGATCTTGATTTTGTTTGGAGTTTTTTCCATTAACATTAATGCTTACCCCCAAAACACAACCAACATCAGCTACACAACCAGTGGGCTAAAGCAGACATTCTCCAACAAAACTGATTTATTTTACCAAACTAGAATATCTTTTGGAAAAGACGTGCATGGACATGTATGTGCTGTTTTATTATTTTAAAAAAGTAATAGATGGGGCGATTAATACCATTTTCCTTCTTGCATTCTGTTGCTCTAAATAGTGTTTAACATTGCTTAAAACAACAAAAAAGAAATCAACAGGAAACAGACTTGAGCCTGCCAGGCCAACTGTTTCCTCCTGCTTCTAGTCTTTGTGCTATGCTAGGCTAAACACATCTGGGACCAACCTTAACTCATAGATAAAGTTCCAAAACACGTCATGTGTGAGTTGCTACAACTTATCGATACCCTGCAACTGAGTCTTTCACCCTTCTAAGGCCAACAAAGCCCAAACAATTCAAGCACACTTCCTTTGATGGAGCATACGTACAAATAAAGAAGAAGCACCTCTCAGGTAAGAAAAGAGGCCAAAAACAAGGGAGGCAGCACAAGTTTGTCCTACACCTAAAAATAAATACTGCACAGACCCAGATAGTTAACCTGTCTTTTATAAAGCACGTGTGCACAATATGCTTTACATGATAAAGGGGTGAGATGTGTCTAACTGCACAACAGCAGTCTAGCAGACAAAATCACACTTTGTGTATTTATAGACGTTTTCTAGCTTGCTCATTGTGTGAATATGTAAAACAGTTTCTTGCCTTTCTAAACGAAAGGACATTACATCAATTCGAAATACATCTATGTGACAACAAAGGTTAATCAAGAGAAAAGCAAAAAGAAGCTTTACCCTTAGCAGACGAGCATAAAGCACCATAATACCATAATAATGACTGCGTTCATAGCACTGGTACAGTACTGACACTTCAATTCTTTGGCTGGCACATAACAGAGATTAAAAAATACTATTCAAAGATATAAGAGCAAATGCTATTCTACAATTCCTAATATCAGGGCTAAACACTCACAAAAATACTTTGGTCATGAATTCTTAGAGAAAATACACGACATCAAATTTTTTAAGTGCATCAACTTTTAAATGCCACAGCAAAAGAGGGCAATAAGAAACTGACCATCATAAGACTCCAGCAAAACACATAATTCCTCTAGATTTAGCTTCTATAAGCTATAACTGATAGCTCTCCAGTAATGAAGTGAAGTTTCAGAGGTAGCGTACTGCTGTCGCTCACCTGAACCTCGAATCCTCTGTTGGCACTCTGGCTCTGATGCACAGCAGAAACTCTGGCGAGTCTGTGTGTGGACATGTGCATGTTTCTTCAGAGGGGATTAAGTGATGTAGCATGGACTGAGGGATGTATTTTGGTTCTGTAGTTTGGCATACGATCAAACACACCTACAGCCACATTTAGACAACCAACCGTGACACTGCAGCTGCACACTTTATATTTGAAAGCGGTGCATTTGACAAAATTCCAGCTTTAAACAACCTCAGAGCATTTGTGTCTTTATAACACAAAGTGTTCACTGAGCCACAGTGAAAGTTCAGGTGAAAACAACAGATACAATTCCATAAGAAACCCAGAGTCACAGACCAAACTGACCAACAACTGTCAGCAAATCCTGACTTTATTATCAAGTTCTGATTGTTCCAACAATATATTTTTTTGTTTGTTTTTTGTTGAAACTTCAGCCGAATATCAACCATAAACAGATCGTCTTAAGATGCAGATCAAAACGGTAGAAAGGAACAGTGTTTCAGTGCTTTACGAGCACAAGCCGTAGCATTTAAAAACGTGGTTATACTAAATTCTGACGTACAAGCTTGCCAAAATTGTACAAACTCTGTTTTTACTTCATATACTGTATTTCCATTTATTCCATGTAGTACTGCAAATCCATCAGTTCTGACAAGATCTCCAACACCACCGGCTGAAATGCAGCCCAAAACCATACAGAGCCTCCACCTCCACATTACAAAAGGCCCTAGACTCTCCTGACCTCCTCCTTATGTAATGGTAATTTGAACCAAAAATGTAACATTTGGATTCATCACTCCATGAGACCTGTTGCCCCTGATTTTCAGCGCAGTTGTTTTGCAATTTGACATACCTCAACCTTTTCTTCCCGTTTCCCTTCCTAAAGAATGACTTCTTGACAGCCACCCTTCCAACAGTAGATGGATCTGCTGAAGGTCCGGATGCATCTCTCAGGTTTTGTGTCAGGTATTTGCTGGATTTTTTTTCCCATTTCTTCAGTACATGACTCTCAGATAGTGTTCATCTGCTGCAGATAGTTTTTAGGCCTGCCACTTCTTCATCTGCTATTTTCTTATCCATTTTCCTCAAACTTTTAAGGACACTCTGCACACCATGCCAAGAAGTTTTTGGCTAAGAGCTCACTAACAAGGAATCACACTGATGGTGCAAAAATAATATTCTATCCCTGTGGTAAAAGTAGAATACATTTTTAAACAAGATCAGAACAGCTTACTGTACAAACACCAATGTTTAGATATTACAGTTATTGCAGGTGTTTCTGCAATAGAAGCAGGATAAGGTTCCTCTGGTGGAAGTGCCCCACAAATCCAGCCTTAAACCACTGGTGTAACCAAACAGTAATGGTACACATGATGTATCATGGTTGATTTATTCAGATTAACTTTGAGTCCATTAACTGTATTTTCTTCACTGGATTGTTCTCAGCTGCAACTGAAAAAAAGAGGAAAATTGCAACAAAAAAACCCAAAACAAAACAAAAAAAACCCCCCACAATGTAATGAAATGATGAACATTTCCAAAAGTCTGTATACTTTTGGGACTGCTCTACAAGATTAAGAAGAAAACACAACACTGCACCAACCTGAGGAAGCTGGCACAGCTATTTCAGCAATTTCTCGCTTCATAAGCAGATTTGTAATGATTAGGGGGATATCAAAAACAAAGAAACTAGCCTGGGAAGACTTATTCAACAAATTATGTATGAGTATTATTTGTTAGATAATGTATGGGCATTATACTCATCCTGTTCTTTATCAGTACTGTCAGAGAAATACAGCACTATGCTATGCATCTGACTTTATCACCTGTGACCAGATGTGTAGCAGTTTTTGTACCACAGCATACCATGAAGTGAAGTGAGGTCAAGTTTAGGCCCATTCCTGACATTATGAAACCATTGCTCTGATGGTGGAAAACTTTAATCAGCAACTGAAGAACTGCAGATATCAAGGAGTATTTTAAGATGGAATGTTATTTTGGATAAGTTGATGCTATATTAAAATTGTATACAGCTTAAATATCAAGATGATAAATTTGACCATTCAATTTGTTTAGCGAGCTCTCCTGCATGAAAAATGCTTACGTATATGAGCTATGCTCCATCAGCTCCTACAGCTGTGTGTGTGCCATGATGTGTCACTGTGGGATATTTTACTTGCTGTGAACTGATGTGATGTAATTTAATCCTTCAGTCTGTGATATGATAGCTATGATGTCAGGCTCTACCTCAAAGCACCAAACCCCAAGTGAAGGATCTGTGATACATCTATACTGTACATGTGTGTTGTTTAGTGAGTGAGCTGAAAAGCCTGGGAACTGAAACTGAAGGCTGATAAAAACACGCACAGAAGCGCGCGCGCACACACACACACACACACACACACACACACACACACACACACACAATGTCCACAAGATTAATACTGAATCGATTTACCTCAGCCTTCTGACAGCAGAAACAACTTTTTTGCAATCTTAAATCACCAACTTTATGCTACTTTTAAGCCTTAACCAAAAAAACAACAACACAACGGTCACACAAAGCCTTTACTCACCCTTAGTGAAATTTCGAGGTCAGAGACTCACCTCGGTCTTGTCTTTGGAGCGAAGAGCACTCTTGCCATTGTTGGCTATGTCCCTGGACGGAACCACAGTTATCTGTTGTACTGGCATGCTGCTGTTTCCAGGCAACGCTCCGGAGTTACTCCCACAGCATTCCCAGTCCTGTCCTCCAATCTGCGTCCCTGCGTGGGATCTGTTCTCGCGTCCGCAAGCTCGTTCCTGAAATAAGAAGAGGCACTCCCGGATCGCACTTATTTATCGAGCCAATCCGGATCATCAAGAAGAGCGGAGATGAAACGGGATCAGGTCACCGTGGTAACAAGAAGATAGCAGGATGGTGGGGTGTGAGGTCGTCATGACGACTGGGAAACTACTCCACAGTGCCCACCACCTCCTCCTCTTCCTCCCCTTTTTTCGCTTTCCTCCTGAGAGCGAGACAAGAGAGGAAGAGTTGAGATGGAGCTGAGCAGTAAACAAGGAGGCAGGGAAACTGTGTTGTTGTGACGCACGTGTGTGTGAGTGTGTGAGAGTATGTGTGTGTTCTTGTGTGTCTTTGCAAAAGGGGTGGAGCCAGGATTTTGTCGCTGTATAACAAGCATAAGGTCCACGAGGATTAGGGCTTAGACTAACCTCAATCTCCTCCTCAGACCAGTGGCGCTGCTAATAAGCTTACACAACTTGTGCACATGGACAGCACTCACTCATACACACACCTCATTCCTTCAGTCATGTTAGGCAATTAAAAGAACATTAATATCTGACTCGCTATGAAAGGACAAATCTCCAGCCATATCAGTCTTCACTTCAAAGAGTGCGTTTGTGTGTGGGAGGGTTGTGTGTGTGTGGGTGGCAAGGATGTAATCCTATTTCACATGGTCTCGGGTCACGAGGATTATGATTGATATAACCGGAAAATGTGTGACTGAAAGTGATTACTGAAAAGCAGGGGCATCTTCACAGACATGCTCAGGTAGTATTAGAGAAACTAGAGCCAGGAGTTAAACTAGGAGCAACTAAAGATGCTTTTAAAAGTAGCTCAAACTACTTTGTGAGACAAAGAGTTACAAAATACATGTGACACATTTAAAAAATAAACAAAGCACCCCAATATTCACAGGTTACACATAAACTAGGGCTGTGCGATATGACCAAAATCTCATATCCCGATATAAGAATTCTATCGTCCGATAACGATATAAATCACAAAAATGTAACATTTTCTGTAAATTCTGTGAATCTCGGGCAGCTCGTCTTGCTGGAAGTGTTTCCAGCTGCGCGTCATGTAGCTGGAGTCGAGTGTTTTAACCGATGCATGAAACTATACATTTTTAGACATAAGTTGTAACAGCCGCCGTTTTCTTTGTATTTATTACACAGCGTGCTGCGGGGAAAAGCCTGTTCTAACGTTTGAGTCTAAGGTTTATTTTTTAGCACCTGGCGGCTCTTTTTTACTTGTCATCCGTAAACAATCTGCTATTTCACGTGATTCAGTTTATTTTGAAAAGTCTCAGCAGGATCTTGAGCTTTATTGTGAAAGGTTTATGTGGAAAATAAACAAGCGGACACGCGATGGTGTTACCATCGTTGTTGCTAACCACAACGCATAAAAACAGGTGCTTGTCTGTCCATAGTGTGGTTATATAAAATATAAGAGAAAGAGAGAACTTTACGAAATTAATATAGGCACTACAGTGACCATCAAAATGGTGAAAAAATATTGCCGTAAATAGTTTATTTTGCGACATCATGAAACAAACGACAGTGTAAAATGAAACTATAGACGTTTTTATATCCTCATCCGATATATATCGTTATATCGAACAGCCCTAACATAAACCCTCAAAAGTAGGCCTAAACAAACAAAAAAATTCATCTGGGCTTTTGATGAGGACACATCACAACTCCTCACATTAAATTCCTGTTGTTAACAAATACGCTTTCATAGGATCTTCTTGGTTAAAGACTGAACCAGTTTTCTTAGATTATATTGTAAGGTGAAGACCCTGCAATATTATTAAGAATGAATGAATGAGTGAATTAGAAAAATGTTCATCTGTTGTCAGCATGTGCTCGTTTAAGGTGGACTGAGCCAAAGTGGAAAGCTGTAATCTGGTCTGATAAATCAAAGTCAGGAAATCATGGAACAGCCATTTCTGGGCTAGAAAGAGACACCATATAGCTTGTTTTTGGTGCACAGCTCACAAGCAATCATATGTGACTGTATGGAGTACCATTAGTGTGCAGGGCACCACTGTGTTGCATCATCTCTTCTCCTCTGAGTGTTTGGGAGCTAAGGAGTCCAAATGGTTTTGCACTGTTGCAGCAGGATTTCAGCTGCTCAGGAGGTAAGAGCCTGCTTTGTTGTATTATTCATTTTGTAATGCTCCAAATGTTTTTTCAGTGGGTGACAGCTCAGGAATGCAGGCAGGCCAGTTTCAGAGATATTATGAAATACACGGCATGAAAAGAATCCCGAAGTGTAATAGGAGAAGAGATGAGGGTTAAGAGAAGCCTTTTGAGAGACTTATTTTGTGGCAAATAAAACTACATTTCATGAATTTTCTTGCAAGCTTTAAGTTTACTCCATGACTTTATGCAGAAAAACTAATGAAAGATAACTTGTTTACGTGATTATCTGTGTGAACACCTATATCAAAGCAGAGGTTTTTACAGTTTGCGGGTTTGGCCTATTCAGGTGCGTGTAAACACAATGCCACAATCTCCCCAGGAGTGGATGTCCAAGCAAATCCCAGCATTGCACAGTCAAACCATGCAATACTCAAAGAAATCTAAGCGCTACATCTCAGACTCTACAGACTCTAAGTATGGCTTTTTTGGAAAGGTTCACTCTCAGTAAAAAGAACATGGCAGCATGGCTTAGCTTAGCTTATCCTAGCAAAGCTGCATCTGAAGAAAACTGCAAGACTTCTGGAACAATGTACTTTATTCAGATGAAACCAAACCAAACTGGCCTAAAAACCAAACTCAGCATTTCAGCACCAACAGCTCACACCAGCTGTCGAGTAAGGTGGTGGAGAGATGATCATTTGGGTTTGTTTTCCACCCACAAAAGCTGGGTACCGGGCAGTCATTGAGTTGACCATGAACTCTTCTGAACACCAAAGTATTGTAGAGTCAAATACGAGGTCATCTCTGTGACAGGAATAAAGAGTACAATGATGCCAAACACAGCAGCAAATCTACAACAAAATGTCTATAAACGGAAACTAGCGGTGTTGCAGTGGCCCACTGAAAGTCCTGACAGCACATAAACAAATGTCCACAAACCTCAATGCACTGAATTTTAGAGAAGAGTAGGTCAAAATCTCTCCACAAATTCAAGTTATATCAGCTCAAGCTGGCTTTACAAGCTACTGAATCATGGCTAGGACTGAATTCATTTACCATTTGTCACTTGCATATATTGTTATTTTGTGTTCTGTTATGTTTTAGTCAATCATAATGCTTTAATGTAAACACAGCACATGTAACCTTGGCTCTGCATACTATCTCTGTTTGTGGTAGCATTGGTTACATTCAGTACATCTGTGTTCCTAAAGCTAAATGTCACTTAATCATTAGTCGATTTGAATCTTTCATTTGTTTATGTAGTTTGGTTATATTTACCACTGTGTGTTCCTTTGTGCAGGTCCTATATGTGAAACAGGTATGTGCTGTTTTCCTATCACTTTCCATGCTGCTTATGTTATGCTACCTTCAAAGGATTGCACAGAGCTGTATAAAAACGTATTTTTACACATGGATGCATGTGCGTGAAGGTATTTTGAAATAGCTGTAAAATTACGAGACACTCGCTTTTATAAGGATTTTAGTTTAACACAATATAGCTGCAATCAAGTATAATGTTACGTGCGTGTGTTGGTGGGTTATTTGTTTCCTAATGTGTGTATGCAAATTCACCTGTGCAGGGGCTCGGCTGTGATTGGTGGACCTAAGGAACGACCTGATGTAACTGGTTCCTGCTGTGGACATGAACTATAAAAGGGCGACTGAAAAGCTGCGGTGCGGGGGGTGTGGCAGACTTCCCGTGCACTTGCCTCAGGTCCAGACGGAGCGGCCGTAGCTATTTGGTTAAAAGGTCGGGCATGTGTGTGAAGTGCGGAGCAAGTAGGGGTGAGCTGCCGATTATTTTGGGAAGCCTTCTTTTCTCCTGTGTTTTTAGACCAGGGAGGTCAGACTGTGTTATTTCTTTCTTTTCTTTTCCTTGAACAGGTCAGAGGGGAACCGAAGCCTAGGTTGAGTTTTGTTTGTTGTGTTGGCCTTAGCTCACCCCGAAATTATACACTGCCACTACCATTGTTGTGAATAAACTATTGTTAAAAGTCCGATGCTGTGACTGTGTCTGTTTGGGCGTGGGAAGTCATGGGACACCCCGCTCCTGTTACGGTCATTTCGAGCCGGGTCGTAACATATAAGATATAAAATAAGATTTATTTTTAAATACATTGTTTTTGCATTGTTTCTAACCAAATACAGGGTTTTTAAGACTTGCAGAATCACTACATGCCACCATTTTTTCAACAGAGTTAGTGTGGAGTTCACAAACTGCCTACATGCACAATAAAATTCAGAAGATTACAAATAGCACATCTCAGGGGACATAGAAATAGTTCTATGTTTGGCTTTTTACAGATGATCAGCAAGCATTTATTCTCAAAAGAAGGTGTTTTTTGTGTTTTGTTTTTTTTATTAAAGCATTCAAAACTATATCCTAAATCCAAACTACCTTGGGATGTACAGTACTTTATTTATTATTATTATAGGTTATAAGTTAAGTGGTTTGAATCTTTTAAAATCCTTCTTTTTTTAATGAACATGCTCTTGTGCTTTGGTTGAATTGAACTTAAACTTTCTGTCTCCAGTTTGTTAGTTTCTCACTTCTCCAGACTGCAAGATTTCCTGTGTGGAATGATTTTCATGAGCAGTGACCCATAGTTTGACAAGCAGCAAGTGTCAGCATTCAGAAGCTTCCCAAAACCACTCCAGACACTTATTTGTGGATTTATTTTAAAGCACCATCTAAATTAACTTTAATTTTAAGAGATTAAAACTGAATGCACAAAGTCAACAGTTACATTTGCTTTGATTTTGATGACTATGACCCTGGAATACAATCTTAAAACCTCTATTTTCATTCTCCTGTTCTGCTTCTACCACCATCTTTGCTGTTCCAAAAGTACCCTAAAAGCTTTAAATTCAAGATTATTGCTCCTATAATATCTCCGCTCAAACTATCTGTTCTTATGCTTTTATTTCCTGATTCTTTTGCAGAACGCACATGAGCTGTACCACAAGAACATCGACTGCATGCTAAGAGCAGTGACAGCCTTGGTTTTAAAGAAGTGGTGGTCAAAGAAATGCCCCAGATAAGCCCACCCACATCCTTTTTACTGACACATACATACTAAAATAAACATCACCACAAAAACATATAATGGCAATGGTAATCAGAATTAATACTCTTTGTGGTTCCACATTTTCCAAACACCATTCCTTTATCAGTTACAGTCTGAAAAGCTTCAGTTTGTCAGTGTACATTTAAAAGAATACAAGCATGTGTTTACTGGATGCTCGCACTGAAGTTGGGCATGGTTTCAGCATACAATTTTACCACATCACAAGCCTTGAGAAAAAACATTTTCTTCCACAGAGAGGTTCAGTTACTGAGGAAACACAAAGCTCTTCATCTCACTGTTTAAGACCCAAACCCAGGAAAAGCAACATGCTTGAAAACAAAATGCATGCTTTTGGAGTTAGAACTTTCTGTGTAAAACACACAGAGACACAGACACACACATTCAGGGGAGGCTCAGGACACCATTAATAATTACGGTTAATATGATCTCACTTAAACTTGAGAGGGGACGTGTAAGTCAGCTCTTCACAGCTCTTGCAAGTGCATGACACAGAGAGAGAGAAAGAGAGAGAGAGAGTGTGTCAGAGAGGACATAAAGTGTATGTGTGTGTGTGTGTGTGTCGTGTAATGCAGCTGCTGCGTGATGATCAACATCCACAAGCTTCTTTACTTCGCTAAGTAAGTGTTTCTCCCTCATTTTCAATTGCTGTGTCATATGATGTTGGATGATCTCACTGATGAAACTATCAATGTACAGCTGTGGGAGCAGGCGTAAATAGATGGCCTCTTCATTAGCTGAGCTGGAGATGCTGACCATCATGTTTTCTCTCCTGGTTTTTGCCCTCTTCACACTTGGAGGGATGCTCAATGAGGAATGTGGACAGTCAAATGGTACAACCAAGACACACACACACACACACATACACTAATGTCTGGACTGTGACTTAGCGTCTGCACTCACACTTAGGTAAAATAGCAAAATATTAGAGCACCAAAGTACTTCAAAAATGATTACACATTTCAAATAATAATAATATATAAATACATATATACATTCATACATATAGGAAATTTTTGTCATCAACTTAGTGAAGTTTGTCAACTCTGCAAGCATTAAGCACGTGTGGCACACATGTTTAACGAGATTTGGATTTCCACATAACAGAGTTATTTCCACATAACAGAGTTATTTCCACATAACTGAGAGTTATTTCCACATAACTGAGAGTTATTTCCACATAACTGAACTTTCTATATCTTCCTCCTGTTAAGACAAACCCGTCTAATTATGAACCTCAGCTTTGAAGCGTTATCTTTAACCTTATTTTCACACAATAAGGTTCTCTTTGTATTTCATTTGTACTTCCTTTGACTGGAATTGCTGCTTTGTTTTATATATTTTATGTTTTAGTGATATTAAATTATTATTATATTAAATGTATTATATTTTTTTTTCCATTGGTTCATTTATACTTCCACTTAGAGAATGCTTCAGATAAAAAAAACTACCACTAGATCACAAGGCAAACTGTCCAGGCAGGATATAAGATTCTTATATATCTATTTACGATCTACTATCATGAATGAACCCCACACAATTTCTATCAAATGTATAAATCATATTTGATAGATTTATATATATATATATATATGTATATATATATATATATATATATATATATATATATATATATATATACACACACACATATATATATATATATATATATATATATATATATATATATATATATATATATATACATACATTATTACATTTAATTCTAAGATTCGATTATGATAGGTCCATTTTTTTAAACATTTATATTTAATAGCCTACAACATGAAAGATGGTCAAATTATTTTGTTTGGCATCACATTAATTATTAAATGTTATTAATAAATCATTATTATTTTATGTGACCAGATCTGTGATAAAGTATTGCATTTTGAGGTGAAAAACCAAAGCAATTAACTTTCTGTTTCCATTTTCTGCAGCGACTAACACAAACCCACAAAACGATGTGCTGACTGTCTGACTTTGATGAGGGTTATGATTCAGATACAGAAGATTCACAGGGGAAAAGCAGCCCTCTGAGAATGTGACAGTCAAAGCCCCCTCCTGTGTGAACCTGTTGGTTACCAGACAAAAAGTTGAACTGATAACCTCTGAACACAAGTGCATGTGTACTTTGTTAAAGGATCTTGCATAGATGAGCCATAGGGGAGTGGCCTACACTACACATTTTAAAAGAAAAAAAAAGGACTGAACAAAGAAACGCCTGCTTTAACAAACAGTGTCAAGTCAGTATCTCGTGCCTGCTTTCTTTGTGAGAGTGTGAAGACAGAAGGATTTTATCTAACCTAGATCTGTAAGCAGCTGCTTCTACCAGTAAGTTTTAAAAGCTTAACCGTACCTGCTCTTCTTCTTATTCACTCTTTTCTTGTACCTCCTCTTTGAGTTGCTCAAGGATGTTTTCTTCTACCCACTGACGGTTACCTTTGATACTGGAAGGCAGTTGAAAAATCTAGGTCAAAAACAAAAGGTGTGTTTGGCAGGTTGTGAGCAAGCCATCTGATCACTCTATTGAAATGAGAAGTATGAATCACTTGTGCCAAGGCTCAAAGGCTATCGCTAGTGTGAATGCCTACATTTACAGAGAGAAAAATGTAGGAATCACAGGCCATCTGTGGTCGGCTACACTGATTCATTCAGCCTGTCTGTGACAACATAAAAATGCTCTGTTATTCAGCACCAGCTCTTGTTTGACAGCCGTGTTTTCATAAACATGTAAATCTATAACTATTTTGCTTACCTGACACGTGATGGCTAAAGAGTTAAAACAAAAAGAATATAATAAAGGATGTTTGATTCTGAAACTCTGCTGAAGATTAAAAATTTATTCACTGATGTTAAGTTCACAGAAAGTCCCTGAAACTTCAGTGACTGTACTTTTTTCTTTGATTTTTCACACTGACTGTTTTATTCATGGGAGCCCGGCCTGGAGTTTCAGCCTGCCACTCATACTGCGATACCACTGTACATTTCTTAACTTTCTAAACCCAGCAGGTGATACTGCTGAGGTTGTGTGAATTCTCACATTTCAAGCTGAATATAAAGCAGAGAAGTCTCGAATGTAATGCCAATTCCAAGTTTATACAGCCCTCTGGTGGCAGTGCATGCAGAACTGCACTCGAAGGATTGCAAAAGCCTTTAAAAAAAAATCGTCTACTGAACTCACTTACAGCCTGATTTGCTGGGCAGTTTACAGAGAATTAAACTGTTTAATATTTTAAAATGCGCCCCATTTTCATGAATACACATAGTCCATAACTTAATCTTAGAAGTATACACTTACCAGCCACTTCATAAGGTAGATGTTAGTATTCATTTTGCGGTACAGTGCCGCTTTAATTCAAGCTGATATTGATTGATGATTTGTTCATACTGACACAATAGCATCACACAGCTGATAGTTGTCGGTTCAACCACATCCCATCGGATTCAGGTCTGGTGACTGTGGAGGCCACCTGAGTACAATGCGCTCATTGTCATTTTCAAGAAAGCAGTTTGAGATGATTTGACCTTTATGACATGGTGTGTTATCATGCTGAAAGCAGCCACCAGAAGATAGGTCCACTGTCATCATAAAAGAGTGGACATGGTCAGCAAAAATACTCAGGGAGACTGTGGCATTTAAAAACATGCTCAGTTGGTACTAATGGGGCTAAAGCATGCCAAATAAACATCTCCCACCACCAGCAGCCTGAACAGTTGATACAAGGCAAAATGGATCCATGCTTTCACACCACACCAAACTGTGACCCAAATGTTGCAGCTAAAATTGATATCCATCAGATCAGCAACATTTCTACAACGTTCTATTGTCACATTTTGGTGAGCCCGTGTGAAATATAGCCTCCTGTTCTTAGAGGACAGAAGTGGCAGAAGTCTGCTGCTGTAGCGCATCTCTTTCAAAGTTCTCACCATTCTCTGTGAACCGTAGAGATGGTTGTGTGGGAAAATCCTAGCATTTAAGCAGCTTCTGAAATACTCAGACCCCCATTTGACAACATAACACATTTGAAAAGATTAAAACCGCCTTTCTTTCTCATTCTGATGCTCACTTTGAACTTCAGCAGGTCATCTTTATCATTTCTACATTCCTAAATCCACTGAGTTGCTGCCATCTAACTGGCTGACTAGAAATTTTCTATAACAAGCAGTTGAACAGGTATACCCAGCATAGTGGTTGGTGACTGTATAATTAGAAGCAAGAAGTTTAGTGAGCTAGATTCAAGATTGTTTGTTTGTCACGCGCATGGTTATACAGGTATAACACGCACTGAAATGTGACCTGATACGCTCCTCGACTGTGCAAAGAAATAAAAAAAGAGATCCTTTCTATGAGTAGTCTGCATGTTCCAGCTTTGCCAGTGTGGGTTTAGTAATTCCAGCTTTAGGCGTGGAAATGAGCCTGTGTGGTAGCTCTGTCTGTGCCTGAGCATAAAATTATACAGTGAAGCTACACTGTGGCAAAGAGTAATTTCTTCACTCCTCTGTATAAATGAGTCCTGTTTTGTGTTGTATAGTTGTGTAGATGGAACTGCCATTCACTGGCTTTGAGCTGACCTTCATCATCGTTGCCTTCATCATCTTCACTCTCTTCAGTTTGGCTTCAGTCTGTTTTCAACCACAGGCAGCCCGGCCAGGTACACATTTAGCCTCTGATATCACCACAGAAACCAACGTCAGCCTCTCTAACGCCGATTATCTATGCTCTATCTCAGAAAAAGATGTCTATGAAGTGAAGAAACTGCAGCCATGTAACAAGAAGCAGAGAGTGATCATCAAAGAAGCTGGACAGAACGCATAAAGCAAACATTATAAACCCCAGCTGAGTGAAGGCAAAACTGAAAACACCGCTTACTGTTCTTCTTTTTTTTTGTATTAGTGTTGACGCAATGCCCATTACAGTAGGTTCCCACAATAAAGATAAGGTGGCAATAAACTGTACCCTATTAATTATACAGCTTCGTGAGTTATGAGTATTGTTATAAGGCTGAAGGTAATCATTTAGAAGTGTAACACAAATTGCTAACAGCATAACGTGATCTCAGCGTATTTGTTCAGGTATCTGGAGAGGACGATTAGATAAACTTGTAGAGCAAAGATCCTGTTTGTACAGTTTATCACTGTAACACCACATCTTTTCTTTCCTCTATGATAATTTGCTCTTTAGCTCCATCTCCAGTTTTAAAAAAGCATCAGCTGAATTCTGAACTGAGGCCACAGAAAAATAGGTAGAGTTAAATGCCGTGGAGCTGAAGAACCAGACAGAGCCGAACACTGATGCACAGATCTCTGACAAGCCGTGATGTCTGAGTTAGGATTTAACAAACCAAGTGACTTTCAGCCCCTGCAGCCCTCGTGGGGTGACATCCCAGGGGGTTAGAGGCTGCTCCCTGTGGAGAATGCCCCTCGACCCTTAAGCCCTCCATCACTCCTCTGCAGTCAGCCGTCTAGCTGTTGACATGAAGCGGAGGAGGAGCTCCAGAATAAAGCAACTGAGGAAGATTTTCTTTTAAAGCCAGCGTCTTTGGTGTGTAATGATGATCCTGTGTGTGTGTGTGTGTGTGTGTGTGTGTGTGTGTGTGTGTGTGTGTGTGTGTGTGTGTGTGTGTGTGTGTGTGTGTGTGTGTGCTCCTGTTCATGTGTATATGCAGCCATTGAGGTTAGTATTGGGCTGTTGAAGAGATAAAGGGTCTTCAGAGTAATTAAGCTCTGGCTGGATGGCTACAGCCCTCATTAACACTGACGATATTGTGGCATGACAACAGACCCACTATCACTCTAATGATGGTCAATGAACTCACCAGGCCACAATCCACACCCGTGCACAAAGACACAAGGGCAAGGACACACCCCTACAAATTCAGACATCACGGCACATTTCAACTATGGCCACTCGTTTCATCACCTACACTCTGCTCCTGAATGAGAAACAGAAGAACCCACACAAGCTCCGGCCATCACGTCAGCTCTTTGATTCATAAGACCTTAGACTATGGAAACATCTCACGTGCAAACCATCCTATAAAGAGAGGGGTGATCATTCTTAAAAAGAAACAAACATAAACTCTTCCATATAAAGCACAAGGAGGTCATAATTATATGCAATCTTTGGACTATTTGTGAAATCGTGGTCTTATAATGCCAATATTTGTTTTTATTTTATTTTCAGCCCAGCAGTATTTGCAACAAGGCTTATAACAACCTATATGCCTATATTGGCCTTCATTTTTTTCTCATGTAATCCATTCTGTATCAAATCACCCAGAAATTTCCCAGAAATTCAGAACTCATTCACATTGTCTTTCTTGAACAACCAGCAGTGTGTACAATGGAAATGTGTTCAGCTTTCTATTATAACATGTAGCCCAACTGCTAAATATTTACATCTGAGAACCTACGATGAAAAATATTTATAACTAAATATTTCCGTTAAGCCGACTGGTTCTGGTATCTTTGTTTTTAGCAAAATAAATCCTTGATAAATCATAATACTGTGTTATATTGGTCATGAAATATTTCAATATCACCATTGAGCAGTCCCGCTGCTCATGATTTTTTAATATAACTGTGTTCTAATGTAAAAGGCAGTTGTGTATGAATAGTCTGAAAATAAAGATGGGAAGTTTATTGGGTTTATTTTGTTCTATCTCTAATGTAAAATTAAAAACTGTGGCACAGAGAATCACCAGATCCTCAACCATCATCAAATCTACAGCTGTACATCAGCTAAACATCAGTATCAACCTATGTGATTGATATCAAGTATAAAAAAATGGGCGTTGATTTGCCACATTAACTGTGCGCTAGATAAATGTTTGAAAATAGTGTGTTAAGGAACTGAGAGGATGACCTGTCTTTTGTTTATGCCTCCAGCGAAGTTGAAAAGACTTTCAAGAACGGTGATCTGGAAGCTCAATGGGGAAAAAACCTCACTAAAAAGTTCTACTGGTCACCCATCTACAGCATGTACCTTATATTACCATTTCAGTGTTTTAATGATATGTGCTAATGATCACCCAAGTCTAAAAGTTACAGGGGCATTTTATGGAGCACTGTTCTTCCGAGCAAGTTTTGTCAGAGATAAAGAAAGCTCCTTATCTGCTGATTCCGGTCAAGAGATAATGACAGA